ATTATTATTATTATTATTATTATTATTATTATTATTATTATTGGAATATGTTTTCTCAGCTAATGAAAGGAAATATTCATTAAATGCACTTGCGATAGCTTGTGGATTGTTAGTGGACTTCCCTTCAAGTTATCACAATCATACTGTCCACCTGTATCTTCCCTGTCCCATGCCACTTACAAGAGGATCTGTGGGAAAATATGTGTGACATTTCTTCTGTGGCAAGTTTAAAAAATTTATTTTTATATTTGAAAATTATTATTTGAGACAGTAACACAGACACACATGCTTATATATATGGAAATAAATGTTCAAAACGACCTTAATCACAGGAATTTGCCTACAATGTTGTATATCATCTCTATGAATTATATGAACACATGTAAGCATGAAACTTAAGAACCTCAGCTTTCACTTCAGGAAAATGGACAAAGGATAGATGGGAAGAAAGCTAAGGGGTGATTTTATTTCCTGAAAAATGAGACCTAAGCCTAAAATCTAAATCCATGAAATTTTAATTAAAAAGGAGGATGGAGGAGGTCATTTTGCATATTTCTGGGGGGGAGGGGTCAGAAGCAACTCAGAATTGGAAGGTTATGGCTGTATGTTCATTTGTATATTTTATATCTGAAATTACTAAATATATTTCACTTAAACTTCGTAGCTGGGGTGTGTACTGGAACTTGTCACATGAAATTAATTTTTGTTTATAATCCCAATATACATAAACTGCAGTTAAATTTTTATAATTTTTCACACATAAATGATTGGCTCATCTTACAAAAGACTGGCACATAAAATAATGTCAGGCTGTCATGACAAGCTATACGAGTTATTCGAAATGCATTTCATTAAGGCGCAGCAAGTCGACTGGCTACGGGATGGACGACCCAGGAGTTGGAGTTGAGTCCTGGTAGGGTCAAGAATTTTCTTTTCTTCACATCATCCAGACCAGCTCTGGGGCCCACCCAACCTCCTATCCATTGGACACTGGGGGCTCTTTCCCCGGGGGTAAACGGTAGGGATGAGAATCTGACCACTCACCTCCAGTTAGTGCTGAGGTCAAGTAAACTTGGTTCTATACATCCACTCACCCACACGCCTTCATGGCATAGTGCGTAATTAGTTAAGCACAGGAACAACTTTACCTTTTTTTCTTTTACCTTAAAGTGCAGTAAGTGTAAAAGGAAAAATATCTGACACTGAGCACTGAATGTTCAGTGTAATTACTCTGAAACAATATGCCGGCACATGCAGTTAATGAGCAACAAGATCCTGTATGTATGTGTGTGTGTGTGTGTGTGTGTGTGTGCACGCAGGAACAGATGCAACTACTTTACGAGTATGAATACATTTTAAGGAATTCTGTTGGTGACAGATCAATAAAGAATTACTAGATTCATAGGTTTGGTTATCATCTAGCATTCTGAACAGACTACAACGTTTTGGTAACTAGATCCAATCCAGTGACTGATATTAGCTCTTTATAGTGGGTTTAGTTATTGAAATAAGCTCCTTGTAATGGGTCCTGTGACTGAAAAGAGTGCTAACAGATCCAATGTATGAAACTGGCACTTCTGAATGGGTCTAAGAGACTCAGATTGGATTCTTTGTATCAGATCCAATGATTAAAATCAACATTTTCTGAAGGATCCAACTCAGAAAGGGCCTCTTGGACCTTTCCAGCTGAGGGCAGAAACAAATCCAGTTTCTAAAATGTTGTGTTCTGTTTGGAATACTAGATGGTGGATAAAGTCCAGAGACTTGTTAAATTTAATCACATGGGTGCAGCTTGCTAAGACTGTTTGAAACAGAGAACAGCTCACCATTCTCAGGTGTGAACCTCCAGCCCTACTAATGGCATACATGTGGCAACCTCGTGTTCTCTCTAGACGATGCTCCTTCAAATCCTGACGTCCACGTGCAGAACCCTCATTGCTAAAATCTCCATCAAAATCTGAGAGTCGAAATACATGAATCTTGCTGTCACGACCTGAAAAAATAGTTATATATTGTCATCTATGATTTATAACTGTATTCACAAGACTATACACGTTATATGGGTCCCTGTTACTATGGCATGATGCGTTCTCAGGATAGGAGTGGAGGAGACAATCTCCACATACAGGGGGTATCTGCAAATATACTGAATAAGCAGCTGCAAATAGCTGATAATAGAATGGTACTATAGCTTGGGTGTTGGGGGTCGGTTAATAGAATCATCATTAACCATTCTATAGCAATACACAATTCATATCACTGTGATTATACAGAAGGATTGAAAAACTGAACAAAATTTTCAATCATACTAGCCGATTCATTATGTTGAAGCCGTTGCAACAAAAGGGCACTGTTAAATTCAGAAATGGGACGATGATAATTCAATATAATTTGAGCAAAGTTTAAAACATTGTACCAAATGAATAAACCATAAAATCCTTTCACTGCCATCAGGTAGAAAAAAATATATCTACAATACAAGACAATACAAGAAACTAGAATCATACAATTTGATTCGCACAAATGGGACCATTTAAAAAAGTAGCCCATAAACATATACTTTTTTCTAAATGACAGACCGGTCATAAGAAAAAGCGACAAACATCCGTATTATCCAGAAACAAAGCTTAGAAACCAGCTCTAATTTTCAGAAGTACCTTTGTCTGCTCGGAACAACAGGATGCCATGTGCTTCAACTACATGGAGCTGTTTGACAGCAACTGTTTTGTCAAACACCAAGCGATGTGACATGCTCTCTGCAAAGAAATTCTGTGTATGAAAAATCGTTAATAATATTGCAAAAAACTGATTAAAATTATAATTAAAGATTATAACACTGTTTCAATACACTCATCGGGTAATTATTATTAAATAAAATAAAAATTTTATGATTTCTGAAGTCAGAATGTACGAATGTTGCCTACACACTAGATGTACATAATTTGAAATATATTAAGCCTGGTGCTTTGGGGCAATAAGTGCCATATCCATTGGTCTGGCTGAGGATAGGGACAAGTGGAGGGCTCTTGTGAACATGGTAATGAACCTTCAGGTTCCATAAAATGCTGGGAAATTCTTGAGTAGCTGCAGAATTGGTGGCTCCTCCAGAAGGGCTCAGCTCCACAAGTAAGTAAGTAGGTAGATAAGTAAGTAAGTAAGTGTCTTAAGAAGTTCATATTTGGTTATGAAGTTCCACATCCTTTCCTTTTTCAAGATATCATATTAGTTATATAAATACCTACTGTGAAACCCTGGTTATTTAGCATTCAGGTATCTGGGATTCTCTTGCAACTGACAAAAATTTCAGGGAAAATTTAACCTTTTTAAATTATTTGAAAAACAAAGTTGTGATGCATGTATGTTCATGCATTATGCATTGTTTCTCACAGCTGCTGCTAGTAAGTAGCAGTGCTCACTACCATACCCCTTTACACAGGTAATATTACAGATATACTGATCCATGATTAGAGTACAGTCCAGTTGAGTCTCTGATGCATTACAGCATATCCGAAATCTTCTGCCAGTATGTTCACTGCGTCAAATATGAAGATTCACATGCAAGAACTAAAGTGAAAATGTGTCATTTTCACCTTGAAACGGAAAACAGAAGTATGTAAAAGACTGGAAAGGGCTGCAAATTGCATGAACATTGTGTTTACATAAGTTATTCTCAGGCAACTAGAAAATTCCTGTAACTGAAAGCCCCCCCCCCCATTTCTCATACATGCCATATAATGAGGATATTTCTGTACCAACCATTGCTAGTTATTATATCTAACAGGTGATACAGCTTTTTGCTGAAGTAATTTAAGACTTATCTTTTGAGTGATCTACTTGAAATACATTCACCTTGCTTTGGTACTTGTAACTTTTCTGACATAGCTTTAAATTGCAAACAGATATTTCTCTATGAGTTATTTCTCCTAGACTTCCTGTGTCTGCTTAAGTATAGGAATCATGCAGAGATTGGGAAGACCAAGGTAGAACCCTCAAATTTTGGGGCAATATGTAGTGGAAAGGAGGACAAACATTGGTAATGAAAATGCAGACAAAAATCTGTGTCTTGGTTAGGAATTGGAACACAACCCCAGTGACTGCTTGGCCTAAGACCACCCATAACCCCTAAGGCTACTGGGAACAGAATGTTACTTTAATGCCAAGTCAGATTAAAAGAACATAGCTGAAAGAGCCACACATTTCCAGACTTTCTGATAACAAATTCTTACAAACACAGGGTCACAATATGCACCCACCTTCAACAAGATAGACACCAGATTCAGTGGCAACCAGCAACCTAGTCTCACCCCATGAGTCTCCACAGATAATCTCATGCCCAAAGTCAGGGTAGAAACACTGTGGCTCCCAAGGTGCTCGTTTGAAGAGGCCGGTGGTGGCCAGGCTAGTGGGTGCATCACCTTTCACAATGGTGTCCAACTTCAGGGCCTGTCCAATGCGCACGAACTCAACCTGACGTGCCTCCTCTTTCCGCCGTGACCCACGGGGAGGATCAGGAAGCACATCACTGAATGCCCGTCGGTTTAACATTGTCTGGAAAGTTTGTTCCCATTATCAATAATTGCGTGAAACAAAGAGGAAGGAGAGATCATCAAATTAAGGAAGGATCTGTCTCAGAAACAAGAGCAAAGGCTCAAATTTCAGCTTCTCCACAATTTGTTATTGCAACCATTTAGCACTATATAAACTTTTCAGATGACAAAACATCACAGAGAAAATTAATCACACATTCATCTGCTCTTCCACTGGCAAGATGGTACTGCAATGAGATTTCAGCACTAAGTTTCTTAGAAGTCTCTGCCTTTGGTTTCTTATAGAACTTCTCCCACCCTTGCATTCCAGGAACCATATCAAGTAACTCAACTTATCCAACTGTTGTCAACATGCTCTTTAATGTTTATTGGCACTCCCTATATATATGTTCGCCTGAGTGTTGTTAAAATGCTATAAATAAACAAATTACAAGACTGAAAACAAATTCCATATCAGAAGCATAGGAATAATATACCAGTCATATCTGATTAGCCACTAATAAGTAGTGTACACTGGGTAGCAATGAAGTCTTGTTGGCAGGAGAATGGCTTTACAGTGCATTTCAGAAACATGTGAGCTGCTGCTGATGTCATAATTGTGACTGCTAAGTAAGTAATCCTGTATATGAAGTTAAACCATCTCTACTAGTAAGTGCTCAAAAGCTTAGCTGGCTTTGAAACTTGACCATTTTAGCCAGTCGCATGGAACCGTCTGAAGTACAGTGATGATACAAGTGAGCTCTGTACAGTTATGTAAATAGAGAAGCAGCATTCTATATGCTAATTTAGACATTCTAACGTGGACTTCTATGCACTGAAATGGCTCATGGTTAACGACACATACATACACATCTCTGCAACTATAACTCTGAGAAACTGGATGGCTGCTACAGAGTAGCCATAATCTCTTCCCAACTTACAGGGCCCAGTCCTACAGGAGACTAACCTGTATTATGCAAAAATGTTTAAGTGTTGGGCCTGAGGTTTGCAGAGTAATGATTACAAAGAGTTAGGAACTTCTGGGATTTGACACATTATCCATCTTCCTATCTTTTTGTGGTAAAAGGTAAATAATTGTATTAATATACCATCATCATGAACTTTCAGAACTTAACTAATCTTCACAGTCATTAATTATTACAATATTCTATTTTTAATTATTATTATTTAGTTCTGAGGAGCGGGGATAGTGTAGTTGGTATAGTGACTGGCTATGGGCTGGATGACCAAAGGGTCGGAGTTTGAGTCTCTGTAGGGTCAAGATTTTTCTGTTCTCCACATCATCTAGACCAGCTCTCGGGCACACCCAGCATTCTATCCAGTGGGTACGGGGGGCTGTTTACTTGGGGGTAAAGCGGCCAGGGCTTTAAGCTGACCATTCACCTACAACCAGTGCCAAGGTCAAGAAAATGTGGATCTATACATTCAGTCCCCACACATCTTCATAGCATAATGCTTAATTAGTTAAGCACAGGCACAACTTTATCTTTACCTTATTAATTCTAAGTTCCAGAAACATAACCTTCAAATTTTACCCTGAGCATGACAATATATACTCGTACTTTTGGGTCAAGTAACAAGGACAGAGCATGTCTACTTACCCCTCTCCCATCATTCATGTGCTCTGAAAACAGGTCTTTGATTAGCATGTCTAATGTCCTTTCTCGCTTCTGAGCAAATGTTGGAGTGTTGAAAGCAGCCTTTTCTCCATTTATCACTATTAGGAACAAGATAAAAACAGAACGACGGACAATGAAAATGCTTTAATTTCACTTGGGTGAATAGCTCATTTTTAAACATACTTTAATTGAAAGAAGAACGAAAATCACTCTAAGTTCAACACTTGGAAATATTTTGTGTGGTGTAACTTGTGTTCATTTGAATTAGCTACAGTTCTTAAAAAAGTTTTAAGAATATCATGTATTCAAAAGACCATTGCTTTTACATATTGCCAATTCAGTACCTAGTCTTATACTAGCAGGAAACACAATTACATAAAAAATAGATATAACTGTTTAAGTTTTAGCAAATAAATGTAATTTACTGTGTTTCTTTCTGACAAAAAAGTGAAAATCACTGAACCATTAGTCATAATATGTCAGTATGTACGAGCACATAAGATTATATTTTATATTTTGGAAATTTGAAATAAATTTTGAATTTTTATAAATTTAGGTTAAATGACCTTATTTACATCCTTATTTCAGATAGATTTACCAGAATGATAAAATAATAGGAGTAAAAATAAGAATATTCCATCCAATACATAATTTGACATTGTTAACTGTAACATTATTCTGGTCAGTTAGTAATATTCTTGTTGGAATTGAGGTTCTAACAGCAATGGTTATGAAGGGTACTATCTTCTGGGATATAGCGCCATGTAGTCCGTTGAAAGTCATAGTATTATACCTCATAAGATAATACTCTTCTGTAATATTTGTACTTCCTCTTTAATTGTAAACTACATATAATTTAATAAGTAATTTAGTGATGAGAATGTGCTGTACCATAAATCTTCTTCTGCCTTTTAACTCTGTTACTTCAAACACGCTGGATATGATACTGTTATTTTTGTGACATATCCAACAACAACTACATGTTGTTTCACAACATGAATGAATAAACAACATGATGAAATAATAATATCAATAACTAGAAGAAGAATGGCAATGAAGATAATGATGACCGCAGAAACAAATTAAATGCATATGTGGTCCTTCCAAATATATTACATATCCCTGTAATTAACCTGATATCATACAGATATTTGAGTAAAGCTATAACTTACGCTTGACTATGAGAAACTCACGGAACTCCTGTGAGTCTCTGAATACAGGTGGACAGGGAAGCGATGGACCAAATAGTGGAACTGATTCTTCTGAGAAAAGTGCCAGCCTGTAGCTACTATCTTCAAGGGAATATGTCACAAGTGCAAAAACGTCTGGTTAGAGGTTAAGGAAATGGGAATAGCAACATTCTTCTTCCATAATTGAAATACCTATCCTCCACATTTCTGGTTATATTATATGGCTCTACAGAATACAGTGAACACCCATTTAAAGTTTATTTTGGGGGAATAGTGGATATGACCACTAAACTGAGAAGCACTTTAAATGGAAAGTAATTTATTATCACTGTGGTTATTCACTTGGCATTACCAAACTAACTTTAAATAAGAGACAACCTTAAGCCAAGTTTGTGTTTCAAGACAAAACCTTAAACAGCTTCAAATTCAATGGTCAGAAAATAAAGAAGAGAGTGTTTCAGAGGCATATATTAGATAAATGAATATCCTGTTTCTTAGACCTTTCCAATACCAACTGGTTGTACAATGGATTTTATCAAGTCTATTGATGGAAAGAAGGGATTAAATATTTGTATGAGTTGATCTGACAAGAACTTTGAGCGAGAGAGTTCATAGCCCTTCACCTTATAAGGGCCTTCTTCAAGGAGACAGAACTGCAGTACTCTTGTAATTATGACCGCCTCACATGCAACCCAAAGGCCCTGACTAAAAAAATCAGACAGTAGCTTTTCTGGTCCACATTTTACTCTTAACAAATATGTTGATCGTAGACTGCAAAGTAATGCTGGCTGATACACTTCCACAAAATAAAAAATAAAGCACACCTTACAGTTATTATGCTATTCCACACAACTATGGTAAATAACCTTTACTGAAATTCAGTGTGTTTGATAATTCAGAAATTAAAATTTCTGTTTACCTTCCAAAGTCCTCTAATATCTTTGCTTCTTGATAATTTTCTTGCAACATATACATTCCTTGCAATTTTGATTGCCTCATTGGCACTGACATGTATGTACTGAAGACACAAACCTATAGTTGGAAATCTACAGATATCACTCACACTGCACAGAATCAAATTGTTTTCCCTGCATCTAATTACATATACATGCCACTGAAAAATGTCTCAAAAGGGACCTGTAGAGCTGATTTTACTTATATGTATATTTCACACTAATTATCTAGAATGTAAATGAAAGTGTAACAATATTTGTCTACAAATCTATGTGATTCTTTTATGCAGCAGCCAGTCTGTGTAGTGATGGGATGAATTTATAACACAATATGGCAGAAAGGATACGTGTAAATTGTGACTTAATGAAGGACGGGTTGAACTGGTTCATCTGAGTGGCACCACCATCCAGGAACACGATGTTGACAATGTCATTTCCTATGTGCCTCTTCCGTTCGACCTGCATGATACAAGTACACATTTATCATTGCATTGTACTGATGACAGGCTGATTAATGCATAAAAAGAAATGTAAATTCTTAAACGTCGAAAGAGAGTGTTTTATTGTTGATTAAGCATTCACATTTCACCCACACACTGCATAATGTTATGTTTACCTGTTGCCGATTATCTTTGGAGTATGGCAGTAATGTTGACACATGGAACATTATTTCGTGACCCTCATAAATTGTGTAGACAGAGAAACGTCCTGTCATGTCACCTGAGAAAAAGAACAATCACACATACATTGTTCACAGAAGTTCAGACAAACCGAAGAGTTGCATTTCAAGGGTCAATTCATATACATGGGCTTTTAATTTCATTACACTCCATACTTCTGTGCACGTGCAAACTGAATGCATTTTCCAGCCAAGTTTCAACACATTCCCACAATCATTAGTTTCAGTTTCTTTCGCCCTTGTCTGTTCACTTTACTCGTATCAGTTCTTAAGTGGCTTTGTTAATAAATTCAATATATGAGCAGGAATAGCAGAGTTAGTAAAGTGATTGGTTACGGTCTAGGTGAGCAAGGTTTCATTTTGGCATTGACAGGTTCATTCTCCTTGTCACTATGCTCAGACCAGCCCTGAGTATCACCCACCACACATCCAATGGGCACAGGAAGCTCTTTGCCTGGTAGTAAAGTTGTTGAAACATGAAACTTACAACCCACACAGGCCAACATCCAGAGTAAAATGCAGAATATATGGAGCTTTATTTCCACATCACCTGTACTTCTCCAGGGCATGCTGCTTATGAGCAGGAGAGGGTTTATCTTTAAATATACATTAATATCATAACTGTTATTGTTACAATGAATTACAACATTTTGAGGTGACAATACAGTTCTAAAATTCATTGACAATGGTGTTAGTGTCACTGCTTGGGTATTTTCTTTGATGACTAGCGGTTGTTTAAATTTCAAACTTTAAATTGTATACAATGGAAAATGTTCAAAGACAATGCCCTGAGAACTGAAGATGATGCTTTAATCATGATAGGAGCAAAGGATCACACATTAATATTGCTGCAAGTTCAAACTCTACTGCTGTTCCTAGCATAGAGCACATGGTCTGCATATTTACAATGTAGGAGATGTATATAATTTAAACAACACAAAAATCCAGCGTCTTAGGTTACAAAGATCAGTCAGCTATTAATTTTTAGGAAAATAATTGATAATTACTTTGAGAACCAAAATGACTCCACAGATACATTTTGTGTGTAAAATGCAAATTTCTGAATGTTAAAATGGATGGTAAAAAAGTGAGTAAAGCTTTCCCTGTAACAGGCCATGAAGGCCCATAGGGTCGTGAGACGTTGAGGGTCCCACATTATCTAGACAATCGGCTCAAATATGGCAGTAACATTGTCAGCCTTACGCGCTGGCCGCGCTTTACTCCCCAGGAAAATTATTTACTTAATTCCTGGTACTCATTTCTGTTAGAGGCTGAGTGAATCCCAGGGCCATAGTGCAGCTAGAAGGATTAGGTCAACTGAAAAAAATCCAATGACCTCATTGGTATTTGAACCCGCGACCTTCGACTTGTAGCATAATGCCTTATCCACTACACTACCACATGTATGGTACAAAAAATTAATACTGTTCTGCAGAGTTATATCAGAGATTCATGTCAATGAATCAGATTCAAATGCAGAATACTAATTACAAATCACATTCAAAACAACTACATCCAATGGTAAATTGCAGATCTAAGAGAATCACTTCATTTACAATGTTTTTCCATTATGTAACAAACTCAACAGGATATGGGTGTGTACATACCTTTGACATCAAGGCCACCTCTGTATTTGTCCCAGCCTTTGAGTCGTACCTTGTCTCCTAGCAAACTGATGAAACGATTGAACTCAGGACTCCCAGCCTCTGTAACAGAAGACTGTAATGTTAGCCAGGGCTACGAATGACTTTTCAGAATAGGCAGCTGCTTCATTTCAGAACTATGCAGATGTTCCAGATCAACAGAAAAGCCCAGGGGAATGACTAACACATATTAAAAGGAAATTGTTATAGTACAGCATCATGAATTTGTTCCTATACGTATTGTTGTTGGGAATTATAGATAGACATTGTAAGACCCTTGAAGTAGCTTTCTCAAAATGAAGCACTTTGGAACTAAGCAGGCGGTGTCTACCCATGTCTGCCCACGCCTACCTCAATTCCCAACTGTACCGTTAGTATAGCTGTGTAAACACATACACCCCATCCAGAAACTTCGCTATGTTCACATACGGTCAACAAAAACAGAGATGTATGTGGAGAGACTTGTTACAGACACAATTGTGTGCACCCTATTGCAAATGCTTATTATTTTCTATTGCAGAAAGGTTCCATGGAGAAAAGTCTGTCTTGAAAATCTGACAGTTGCTCATCTAGGCAAGAACTGACCTACCTTTATGCAATCTGAAATTTCGTTAATGTACCCACAAGAGCCCGTTACTGGACATTCTCCCTACCTGAATCCATTGTTACAGTTATAGGTGGTTGTCATTTAGAACATCGACAATCCCACATTGGTGACCCCAACGTGATGATCTAGAGGTGGGTTCAACATCGAGTGTTGTATAAATATGAGCATCGCCAGCAATGTGCCAGAATGTAATATTGACCTAGGAGTGAGTGTTGTCTGTTAGACCGGCGAAACAGTGTGTAAGTATGTGGGATGTTCCCACACACTCATACCTTCAACATACACTATTTCTTGAAGATCTAGTTACAGATGAGAGGATAATATTAAAATGGACATACAGTAACAGTGTTGGCATATAGAAGTAAAAGTAAAGATGACCCTGGACATATGGTGGACCAATGGTATAAAAACACACATTGTTAATAGTGGTTTCTAAATCTGTTGATGTAAAGGTGTCCCTCTGATGGTGGTCTCTGAAGACTGGACGTAGATAATTGAAATAAGAAAAATCTTCACCAGTCACACTAGATGGAACTGTTTAACTTTTCATGATATTGTTAGTGTGACAAACCAGAATGAAACAAATCAAACACTTTGTTAACTTTGACACTAAATGAAGCAAGTGGCGGGCTTCATGTCCCAGGTGCATACTGGCAGCCATTGGACAGGAAGGTGAATAGGCCTGGTATGGACAAAGTGGAAAAAGGAAATTTTCTTACTCCTGCCAACAAATCAAAAACCAAGACCTCAGCTGTTCAGCATGCAAGTCATTACACTGAGTGAGCTAACCTAGCTCCTTGTGAAGCTGGAGACTCAATTCAACCAGCTCAGAAGAGGGTTAGTGGGAGCTGTCACAGATAAAGTAAAGAACCTTCAGGTTCCATAGGTGCAGAGAATTTCTTGACAAACAAAATAATATTGTTAAATAGAGCAGAAAAGGAGAACCATAAAGATAAAGATGCTAGCACAGCAGGCTAGTTAAGTGCATCTGTTTTTGGTAAACTTTAACACTCTGTGAGAATGAACAGTTCAAAAAGTACTACCTTCTGGAGGATGTAATGTCATGTAGTCCAGCATAAGCCCCCAGATATTTGAGATGGATGTAATGACTCAGTCTTCAGGGTCAAAGAAGAAGGCAAGCAACAAACCAGCAAGGAGCAGATGTCACCTGCTTCTTGCTTCCCCTTATGTCTCCACGTTGTGATGGCTAATTAGGAACAAAGGCAATTTAACTTTCCTGTATGGAGGTGAGATACACATAGAATACCTCAACCATAGCCCTGCAAGTCATGGAAGGCAATGGAAATGGAACCCTTTTCCTGTGGGCATAACTGGGCCATCCTGTCAGTGGGGGACATAAATACAGAGACCTGGTCCTCCAGGTTGGGGGATGGAAAGAAGGCTGACGTCCTTGATCTGTAAAAAATCACTGTTGTGAAATTAAAAAGAAACTGGATGCAATCTCGCAGAATCTTCTAAGGAAAGATATGGCTCCAAAAGGGCTCTTTTGCCGATGATGATGATGATAATGATGATAACGACGATGACAACTATGATGATGGCAATGGAACCCACCTTACAATCGTTAACACAAACATGGCAAGAAGGTACCGCAATGGCACTGCATGACTCAAACTACTTTGTACATAGTTTCCAGGAAGACTGATGTACATTTAATGTGGAATGTCCACAGAAGTCTGTTCTTTCATATTTCATTTCATTATTGTGCCCATGTTGATTTCAGTGTTGTTTTTTTAAGCACGTGTGAAACATAGTCCCTCACATTAAGGAAGGAACTCTGGCTGTGAAGAACAGTGTGCTGAAGGCGTTCCTGGATCCAAGAGGAAGGGGGTAGCAGAAGAATAATGGAGTTGCATAATGAGAAGTTTAATAATTTATACTCTTCACGAAATATTATCTCAGAGTTATCAAATTGAGAACAACGAAAAAGCAGAAATATGTAGAGTGAAAGGGGGTGATGAGAGATGCATACACAGTTTTATCAGAAAACCTAAGGGGAAGAAATCACATTGGAGACTTACACAGTAGACAGGAAAACGCTGTTCCTTTGAGGTTTATTTATGATGCTGCCAATAACTAAACTATATAACATCAGTAGAGGATGCTATTAAAATGTATCCCAAAGATACAGGATGAGAAGTTGTGAAATGACTTCATTTGTCTCAAGGTTAGGGGCCAGTGGTGGTCTATTGTAAATATGGTAACGAGCCTCTGGGTTCCGTAGATAGTGGGCAGTTTCTTAACCAGTTGAATGATCATTAGTTTCTCAATTAAAGCTATGTTCCATGGACTTAGTTAATTAGTAATGCACCATTTACTCAGGACAGGTATTACACCAATGTGTTAGTGTTGCAAACTAAATCTGTTTCACACGGAATCGCTACACAAGTTTTATGTTGAATCTATCCACAAAACGAGATGGTTAATTAATTTAAATGGCCTGAGAAGATGTATTAATGGTCTGTCTTACATTTCCACTCTGTAGTCTGAAGAAACGGTAATTGTACTCACCATTGCTGAACATCTCATCATCAGTATTCTGCCCTGGACGGGTATACAAAACGCCAAATTTGAAGTTGACAGAACCTTCTTGTTCTTCAAGGAGCAACAAATCCTGGGAACAAGGTTTACAGGTTTGCATTCAGACTGTAGTCCTCTAGGTTGTGACACTGTATTCTTGCTGGTGGTCATGGTGCTGTTAGTATCTGACTACAAAGGCTGCACAGTGTCACAACCTATCACCTCCATCTTCACGGATCATAGAGTATGACAAGCAACGAAATAGCATGAAGTCAGGTGCAGAGCTTGGCTTACTGTTTGAACATGAAGGCAATACGTTCCTCTGAACTAGAGGCCGACTTTCCCCAGTGATGCTACATCCTAGGAGACAGAACTCTTCACATATGTTCTTTAAGCACAAAACTATATCTACACACACATGTACTACCTATAACTGTGAGAAGAGTAGAGGATACCATAAGAAGACCTGATGATGAATAAAAAGATTGAAACATGCAGCCAGAAAGTATGACACATACTGTAGTAACTAACAGTAGTAAACTTTGTGTGCAACATAGTGCAATACAATCCCCTTTATGTCAGATGATGGAAGTAGAATCAGTTTCGAAAATAATGTCTAATTTTTTTTCTTTAACGCTAGTGGGGTGGGACTTGTACTGAGGCCACTTCTGGCCTATTGTACCAGCCCCAGATAATAGGTGAGGGTGATTGTGGAGCAATTGGTGGAATGAAGATTGGCAGGGGAAACCGAGAAAACCTGCCCCAGTGCAACTTTGTCCACCACAAATCTCTCTTGACCAGACCCGGGATCGAACCCGGGCCGCCGCGATGAGAAGTCAGTGACTAACGGCTTGAGCTATGGCGCGGCCCATAATGTAGTAACTAACATTAGTAGCGGCCTCCGTAGTCTAGAGGTAACGTTCCCACCTCATGACTCGTAGTACGCGGGTTCAAATACCCGGCGGAGGTCGTCAAATTTTTAAGGGCGGAAAAATTCAGGGAACAAGTCCTCCGGGAGGGACTTTAAGCCGTGGGTCCCGTGTCGTAGCTTTACGGCACGTAAAAGAACCTCATACCTCCAAAGGAGGTCACTGAGCAAAATTGCGGACGTTTGCCGCCCAACAGTAGTCACTAATACCTCCGGTAGATGGGGGAAGCATTATAGATACTTCTCAGCCAGTATAGCCGGTCTCGCTGGCTGGGCGGGACTGATGGTAAGCATCAATACCGGTAGGATATAGAGGCTGCTACAAATCATAGAGGAAAGCACAATGGACCACTACAGGTCTAAGTGCATGGGGAAACCCACCCTCTCTAATAACTAACTAACTAACTAACTAACTAACAGTAGTAAAGTTTATGTGCAACATGGCGCAATGCAATCCCCCTTATGTCAGATGATGGATATAGACCCAGTTTTGAAAATAATGTCTATATCAGATATACCCTCTAGAACAGGTAATACCGAACACAATATTTATACAAATAATATTACATAAATTCTTTTTATTTTCTACATCAAACACATGATTTGTACCAGAAGCTCAACTAGGACAAGACACTTATCAAAGTGGTTCATCAACATGTGAAAGTTCTTTTTTTGTATTAAAATGAATATTTCCAATGTAGTATTTTGAATTATGACTAGTTGAGTGCTGAAGTTTGTTAAGCGGGAAGAGGAATAAAGACAAACAAGAAATTTTTCTGATCAGTTACCTTCTGAATATCAGGCGTGAAGATCTCTTTTGGACCTTTCTCCAACTTCTCCATATTCGGAAAATTGCTGTGGTGAGAGACACAGAAGAAGAATGAGGAAATGATGAGATAATCCTTTAATTTTTGTCTTTATCACTTTATGTATGCATTTATTGACATCTGTGCTTCTGACATGTTGGACAGCTTTAGAGGTCAGATAAGAAAAAAGTAATGACCCTATCACTGTTCAGAGACTGCAATAACTTTGCATTCAGATTCATTTATTTCTAACCAAATTCAATCAATTTTTTTAAATAGTTCTGCAAACATATATGTTTTAAAGTACTAAACAAAGTTTCTCATATTTATTTTTGGTACAGTAGAGTAATTCCGGAACTTGAAGTGTTTAGATCACAAGTAACAAGATGGCTGCCAAACATAGAACAGCAAACTAAGGTAAGATATCTTCTTACCTTAATATCTGTTTCACCGTCATTGGCTTATTTGGCGTGTAGGGTATTGAAATTTTTTGAGCACCCTGCAACAGAAAAGCCAGATCAGAATAATGTTTTATATAAACACTGTAGTAGACACACACACACACATTTTACAACGTCTCTCAAAATGTCTTCTAATGTCACAATACCTGAAACACCCACTGGTTCATAATTCAGTCTCATAGCGACAGGCATGACATGAGAGTATAAAATACAAAGTGCACTGAAAAGTATTCTGAAGCAAATTCCGGCAGGAAGATCATATTTATACAACATACATGTGCATTTCTGTACATAAATATACTACCACAGAGGACTGGCCGCAAAGCGTCGTATGGGAATTTACTGCCAATATCTTTCAGCAGTGTTTTCGGCAGCTCTATCAACGTTGGCAGACTTGCATAGCGGCCAACGGCAACCATTTTGAGGGCCGATATGGATCTGCGTAAGTGTATGTGAATACCTTGTAATATGATGCGATAAAACCACATTCCACGAACTTAATGGCTCTACCACGTATAACTTATAGTACTGTTTTACATCTACAAATAATGCATCAATAATAATTTAATAATATTAATTCACAATTAATTCACTAAATGTTCGTTAAATGTTCAAAAGTCATTAGAATTACTCAAATATGTATATATTTGATGTTTATGCTACGTGTTTCAGCCACATAGGGCCACCTTCAGGCAACACATCTTTTAAAAGGGTCTATTACAATGTGAATTTGTTCAGATAGTATTCATCAAGGCACGTCATTGTTGTTGTTATTAATTTCTTGAATTCTGATGTTGTAGGATGACTTTATAGGATGATTTCCTTCCGGTCTTATATATTGCGGCTATTTTCCTGTAATGTACATTAATTTACTTCTGTTCTGAATGTTTTAGGTTATGTTACCCTTTTGTACTGACATGTCCCATTGGGTGTGCCGCTCGCTTGGTTGTGTGTATCTACTGTTGCTTTGTATTTCTTGATTGATTTGTACAAAAACAGTGCACAAATGTAGTGCAATATTACATGATATATAGGCCAATGATTATAATATGCAACTATTTTTTAAATAGTAAGTATGTAATAAGCGGCCTCCGTAGTCTAGGGGTAACGTACCCACCTCATGACTCAAGGTACGCGGGTTCAAACCCGGCAGAGGTCGTGGAATTTTTAAGGGCGGAAAAATTCAGGGAACAAGTCCTCCGGGAGGGACTTTAAGCCGTGGGTCCCGTGTCATAGATTTACGGCACGTAAAAGATCCTCATGTCTCTAGGAGACCTCTACCTCCGGTAGATGGGGAAGTATCGGGTACCACTGCCAGTAGAGGGGCCGAACTCGCTGGCTGAACGGGGCTGATAACGACTGGTAGAATATCAAAGGGGAACGTACAATAGATCAACAACTGGTCGCGGTGCATGGGGAAACCCACCCCCTCCAATAATGAATGATGAATGAAGTATGTAATATACAATTAGTATAAATCTTGATATGAATCAGTCATTATATAATTAATAACCAATAATTACACATATATAAATTTATAATTTCCAAAAGTCGGGGTATATTTTTCCTAGTTGACAATTAAATAACTCATGCATACGAGTGAATGGTGCCTCTGAGCAAGGAAACTTGTGTTTATAGCTCAGAAGGTTACAGTCAGCAGAGTAGCTCAATGAGTGAAGCCTGACTTGTCTCTTCGCTACGACATCAACCCATGTCAGCAACCAATGGGCAGCTGGAGCGTGATACTAACCACTCAGCTACTTAAATTTGAACATTTAAAATAAAGAGCACAAGAAATGTTGAATTGTTAAGTTTATTTTAACGCTTCTTAACGCTTTACGCCTTTATGGCAAGGGGTTGCGTTACATTTAACCTTTTCCCTTAAATCCAAACTTTAAACTTGGGCCACAGTTTCACATATTCGCAGCAAAAGTGACACGCCGGATTTCCATACGCTGAATTATAGAACGAACGACTGTTGCGTGTTGCAAAACTATTGGCCCTGAAGGAATAAAGTGCCAAGTTGACCTTATTGCACGTAAGGGGTAAAGTATTCTCATCACGTAGAAGAACTGTGCACTTAGTATATTGCAGCTGGAACTCTATTCCTCGTACCCAGATCCAAGTAAATTATCCAGAAACTTTACAATGATCCTTCCTACCAAAGTTTCCCCTTGGGATCGAATGAACGGTTTATTTTGTTAAGTACCCGTACTTGTGCAGTATTTAACACCTGTAGGAAGTTGACTGGCATCATGTTTAATCTTCTGCCGAGCGACTTACACGGGCAGTTCTATCTTCTGGGATATAAAAGCAGCGCAGCTCTGCTTACTGCCTACTCTATGCTACTTCCTTGTTCGGTTTATTCGTGAACCTTGAAGATGGAGGCGATATGTTCCTCCGAAACATCGCTTCATTTCCATCGGACTGCACAGTGTACTCATCCAGCACGGTAAGAATGACAGTTGTTACTTACGCGCAATCCGTTAAATCGAGACTTCTATTTATTGGCAGTAAAACTAGTGTTCATGCATAAAGTAAAAATTTAACACACTCAATTTTATGTAAAAATTGTAAAACGGTTGCTTTCCTAGTTTAGAAATTAGTGTACGCTTTTCATTTATTTATTTTTTTGCCGCAGACTGTTGTGGAAGGGTACAAATCTGAGGGCATTTGCGAACAAACTACTGACAAATTTGTCGTGGAATTGAAACAATGGCGTTCTGACGACATCAACTGCGTGAGCTTTTCACCAAACATTATCAGAGGCATGATATTGGCAGGGAAAAGCCCATCGGCGGCCGAATTACAGCAAGTACTTTCCGAATTTGTAATTTTAATTCTGTTATTGTTGCTCCCGAATACTTGAACTTGTCTGTATAATATTATGATTTTGTCCTGCATGCTGGTGATAAAAGATAACATACAAGTTTACTTCCAGACCAGCATCCGCAAAGGTGAAGATATCCCTATAACAGGCAGTGGAGGCCCATAGGGTTGTGAGACGTCGAGGCTCCCACATTTTCTAGACAGTCGTCTCACATATGTCCGTGAGGTTGTCAGCATTATGTGACGGCCGCCCTTTACCCCCCCCCCTCCAGGAAGATTCCTGGTACTCATTTCTCTTAGAGGCCGAGTCACCCCAGGGCCATAGATCGGTTGGAAGGATTAGGCCAACTGAAAAATCCAGTGATTTCATCGGGACTTGAACCCGCGACCTTCCGACTTGTAGCATAGTTCCTCAACCAACTACGCTACCGCGTGCCCCGACTAGCCTCCGTGCCAACGTGGAATACAATTCAGGTTTGTTTTCTATATGACGCTTACGTAACTCATAAATGAAGCGAGCTGGGGAACTGGAGAGGTAATCGCTTCGAACCCTGGCTTGGACACCGGATGTCCTGACTCCCCTCGGTGCCTCGACTAAGACTTCCGAAATCCTTTCCCCTTCATCACTCTTCTATAAACCTACCATATATATAGTCTAGCCATTGAGAGCGCCGTGAAGTAACCCACAACAAAGTAACTCCCGAGACTATCAGAACCTGAGGGCACAACTTCACGGGTCCGGACATGAGCGGAAGTAACCCACAACAAAGTAACTCCCGAGACTATCAGAACCTGAGGGCACAACTTCACGGGTCCGGACATGAGCGGAAGTAACCCACAACAAAGTAACTCCCGAGACTATCAGAACCTGAGGGCACAACTTCACGGGTCCGGACATGAGCGGAAGTAACCCACAACAAAGTAACTCCCGAGCCTATCAGAACCTGAGAGCACAACTTCACAGATCCGGACATGAGCGGAAGTAACCCACAACAAAGTAACTCCCGAGCCTATCAGAACCTGAGAGCACAACTTCACAGATCCGGACATGAGCGGAAGTAACCCACAACAAAGTAACTCCCGAGCCTATCGGAACCTGAGAGCACAACTTCACAGATCCGGACATGAGCGGAAGTAACCCACAACAAAGTAACTCCCGAGCCTATCGGAACCTGAGAGCACAACTTCACAGATCCGGACATGAGCGGAAGTAACCCACAACAAAGTAACTCCCGAGCCTATCGGAACCTGAGAGCACAACTTCACAGATCCGGACATGAGCGGAAGTAACCCACAACAAAGTAACTCCCGAGCCTATCGGAACCTGAGAGCACAACTTCACAGATCCGGACATGAGCGGAAGTAACCCACAACAAAGTAACTCCCGAGCCTATCGGAACCTGAGAGCACAACTTCACAGATCCGGACATGAGCGGAAGTAACCCACAACAAAGTAACTCCCGAGCCTATCAGAACCTGAGAGCACAACTTCACAGATCCGGACATGAGCGGAAGTAACCCACAACAAAGTAACTCCCGAGCCTATCGGAACCTGAGAGCACAACTTCACAGATCCGGACATGAGCGGAAGTAACCCACAACAAAGTAACTCCCGAGCCTATCGGAACCTGAGAGCACAACTTCACAGGTCTGGACATGAGCGGAAGAGGCGGAGAATAGGAGATGAAGGCGTAGGAAGATAAGTGAGGGAGAGCAGAAGCAGGTTAATTCAGATTTATTAGAGTAACAAGAAAGGAAGATGGAGAAGGGGCAGAAGCATATGCAGCAGAAGACGATAAGGAAAAAAGAACGGGCGAAGAGAAGAAAATGAGAATTTTGGATATGGCGGAGGAAAAAGATAACACGAAAGGAAAAGAGAGAACAAGCTAGTAAATAAAGATAGGCAGGCTTCTCTCGGAAGCCGTGGCTCTCAATGGAATGGTGACAGAAGAGCGTTGTGTACACATGCCAGTTCTTGTCACTACGAGCAGCGCAGTGACCTGCGCAGTGGGCCCGATATGTGGGCTCAGAGCGGCTGTATCTGCAACCCGAGCCGTCTCTTGCCCGAAGTGACTAATGTCACTGGACGCCACACATTTCAACTACATTTCAGCCAGGACTGACTGAAAGGTTCTGCGTAGTGTTCCTTCAAGCATAGGCTAAGACCGTTTCCTTCCACATCATTTCCAAGTCATTATTCACTAATAAT